TCAACCAAAATAGTTGATAAAAGCTCAAGTCGGGTTATTACTATCTCTACGTTGAACTCTTTAATTGGGTTAATCAATCTCTCAATTGATCCAATTCCTTGTTAGCTAAGTTTTTCTAGACTGTCCCTCTTTCTCAAGTAGAGACTAAGTCAAATAGGCATAAATCAATGTTTGCAATCATTAATTCTAAAATTGAAGCATGAACTAAGCTAAATAATCAACACCCAATCATAAACAAGCACTAAATTAGATACCATAAGGTTTACACACTAGAGTTGGGTCACAACCCTAGTAAGAGTCTAGCTACTCATAATGGGATTTGAAGAAAATAAAGAAGGAAAGTTAATTAAACTCATAATAGAAGATTAAAATAATGAAATCTAATGTAAATACACCAAAATAATGTAAAACTTCCTAAAGTAGTAAAGAAAAACGGCTACAACAACTTCAGATGTTCAAACTTGACCTAATTTTGTGAAACTCATCTATTTATACATGGCGGAAAATCTCAGACAAAAATGCCCCTCGGGAGGTTCTACGGCCGCACAATTCCATGTGCGGTATACATATTTCTTCAGCTGGCAGGAAGTGGGGTTCTACGGCTGCACATTTTTGAACTGCACCCGCGAGGTAATCTTTTGCGGCCGCACATTTTTGGACAGCAGCCGCAAGGCAATCTTCTGCGGCCGCACAATTACTGTGCGCTCCGCAATTCACAAAGGCTCCTAGACTTGGTCTTTTTGCATACTCTATGATCTTAAACTCTTAGCCCAGTTCTGCGGCCGCACAATTCATGTGCGGTCCACACATTGCTGAAAGTTCTACTAAATTTTTCTTCTTGGTTTGTGGCCGCAGATGGAATTTTGCGGTTCGCAATTTCTTCGGTGGACCGCACATTTGTGCTTCTACGCCTTTTATTGCCTTGTGCTTCGGAACACTTCTTTTTGAGTCGGATTTCATCTCGGGAGACCAAACTTCCATTATTCCTATAATTTTACAAAATTTTATTAGTTTCGGGAACACGATTCAATACTTTCGGACTAAAATAAAAGCTAAAAGATACTAATAAGAAGTCAAAATCTCCACTTATCACTAATATCTAGCGATAACTTATCCTCGAGGGCCTCGTAGTCCTTCTTCCACTGATCAATTTCGGCTCTCAACTCTTCTTTTTCTGCTTTCGAGGCTTCATAAGTTGTCTTTAAAGGAGCAAGAGAACTTTCCAAGAACTGAATTTTATCTGTACATGTGTGGAGATCTTCCTAAGCTTGGGTAAGCATTTGAACCAATTCACCCGCATAAACCTCTTTTTGATTAAGGAGTTCTTTCAAACCCCTTATCTATTCAGTAGCATTGGAATGTTGTTCAACAAAAGAGTATTCCAGTCTACCTTATCCTTCCCGACTTGACTTAAAAAAGCTTTTTCAACCGCTAACTCAACGGAAATTATTCTCATTTGTTGTTCTAAAGCTCATTTCTCTTCTGTAAGAACGTCCTTCTCCAATTGAAGACCTTCAAATTGTTCTTTCCAGTTGTCAGCCTTGGTACGCAATTCAATTACTTGCTGGTCAGTTTGAGAGACTCTTTTCATAAGCTTAGTGCCTATCAAATTAATCTACAAAAAAGGTAGGAGAAGAAGAGTTACGAATGAGGAAAAAGAAGGAAGGAAATTTTACCTTAAGAGAAGAATGAACAATGTCATTCATTAAGGTCAGGGAACTATGGCTTTCCAATTTCTTCTTCTCCACGGGTCCTAACAATGGTTTCAGCCATACATCAGCTTGACCAAACTTCCTCAATAAATTTCCACCCTTAGGGACCTCAATTACAACTTTTCTCATTTCCCTCCTGCTGCTAGAAGGCTCAACTTCTATATGAGAAGCAGCAACGGGAGCAAACTCTGGAGTAATATCAGGTAAAGACACATGGGGGTTAACAGTAAATGAAACTGGAAGGGAAGTAAGAGGTAATTTTTCAGAAACAGGCTTGAGGCCTTCTTCACCCTCAAGGCCATGGGCGAACAACCTATCAACAGGACTAGATGGGGAATTAGCTGTGTTACCAGCGTCTTCACCAAAAATTTCTAAAGGAATATTCTCTGGCTCATCAATGAGCCTGAAAGGAATTGAACTCGGTGGAGGATCGTGAGAAATAAGGGTTTCATCATCAGAAACCACGCGTCTCCTGACACGCGGTTTTCACACCAAAGAACCTGATTCTACATCCTCTTCATCATCAAACCCACGAGCTTCATCAGTTTTTCTCTTGGAGGAGGAAGCACTCAAAATCCGTTACTGAGCAAGACTTACGGAAAGTCTGGTTGATGGAACAGATGCGGGACTAATGCCATGAATAGAAAACCCTAATAAAAAGAGGGGGTTGATGACAAATTTACATATGAACAAGTAAAATAAGGAGAAGAACTACGAGGGTGAAGAGTACCGTGCGTCTTCACTTTCCAATAGAATTTTTGTGAAAGAACTTTCCAAGATCTTTTATCCATAGGAGCAACAGTCAACATCTTTTCTACCCAAGAATGGAAGTCGGGAATTTCTTCAAAGACTTCCATGGTTGCTGAAAAAATGGATATGTGATTACATGAATGAATTCACTACATATATAAAAAGAAAGAAAACTTACGTGCAAATTTTTATTTTTCTGGAAAAGGCATGTTTTCTTCACCCACTAACCCACTAGTGGGGGCAGCAACAAAGCGGGCGTATCAGCCACGGTCCCGTTCATCCTTGGGGCTAACTAACACCCTTTTACTTCTAGCCATGAGGGAAAAGACCCATTCACGAAACAACTTGAGGGAGTAAAGATGAAGTAAGCGATGAAAGGTAAAATGAACGGAGACCAAATCTGACAAATAACGAAGGCATGTTATAGCCCTCCACATGATGGGACCAATCTGGCCAAAGAAAACATTAAAATAACGACAAAACTCGATGATCACTGGATCAATGGGAGGCTTAAACCTTAAGGTGAAAGGGTAGGTATAAACGAAAGAAAAACTGGCATGGTAAGAGGTGATTCTTTGATATGCACCAGAGATTAAAACTGAAAATCTGGTCTCCAATGACATTTTCGTCGAACTAAAAAAAGAAGACCAAGAGTGATTAAACTTCGGTAAAGTTCAGCATGGTTAATGGAAACTATAGAAGAGACTTGATTCCTCATGGTCTCACGATCTGATACAAAAAAAAAAATCTTGAGTAATAATCATAGCAACTGTAGGCTCACGCATATGTTTATTCAGTTCTCTATTTCTAGAAGAGGATCTAGGGGTCAAAGGAGCCCTAGGTCCAGAAGAAGATGGCCTGGCAAAACTACTTTGAGAAAAGGAACCACGAGTAGATAACGAACCAAGGCTACGAAGTCTACCACCTCTCCTACTTCTAGTAGGGGCAGTAGAAGGAGCAAGCTCGTTGATGATCATAACTTTGCGAGAGTCTGGTGTTGACGAAAACATGTTTAACAAAGAAAATACAGAGGAAAGGTACAGAGATATGAAGAAGGGCTAAGATAATGGATACAGAAGGAAGAAGGTTTCAAGAAATCTAAAAGTATGAAGTATTTATAAGGAGATATAACTGTCATTAAAATTGGTCATTATGAAGCATCATAATGGAACCATCACTTCGTAACTGACGCAGCCGCAGAAAAAATCCTAAAAAAGCGCTGAGAAACTACAGAACCAATCATAAGAAGTCATGTGGCATGTGCATTAAATGAATGTGACATACGTCGCATCGATTCTGAAGGAGGCATAATGANCGTGGAACATCGATGTAAGGACAAGTGGCACTCTTAATTAGACGAATTAAAAAATGCAGAAAATGCACGGGAGAAACACCCACGGGGTTACATTGAAGAAAGAATCGGACATGACAGTTGTAAAAGGAGAAACAAGAGCGAAATGAATAAAGACTGCAAAGAAGGGAAGATACACGAACCTGACATAAATAAGGAAGGAAAATCGGTGCAGTTACAAGGAATCTCTAGTCATAAATGTTTCTGTTATGGTTAAACATGGTAACATGCAATCAATACAATTAATACCATTAGTGAGCCCAAATTATGTAAGGGAACCGTTATAATTATATGTTCCTATATAATGACTGAAGTCTCATTTGTAAGGGCAAGTAACGATAATTATTGAAATTCATACTGTTATTCTTTGCTTTATTCTCCAAGCTTTAAGCCTTAATTTTAGGAGTAATTATCAGTTCATTTCTTATTTTTTTTGTCAATTATTCTCATTCTTTGATCTATTATTTCAAAATTGTTGGAAAAGTAAAGTAAATCTTGGCTATCAGTAACTCGATTTCTTCTAGATATTGATTTTGATCAAGAAATCTATTTTTGGTTAAACATTGGACTTTTTTGTTGATTACTAGCTAAAGTCCATTGACTATCTTATTTAGCCGGAGTATTTGAATAGTAGGTATAGATATCTCCAATTGACGACTCGAAAACCTTTGAACTGTCAACATAACTCGCTTCCTTATTTTTCACTTGAGAATTGAGTTTATAAATCTTATTGTAATACTCGTTCAAATTCCTAAGTTGAACATGACAATTAAATGGAAACAAAAAGAGAGTGTATTGATCAAAATGAACGAGATAATCTATTGAAAAATACTCATTATTGCAATCAATAAGTATTATAGGTGAAAGAAATTAATAATAAGTATAATTTACAAGCTTAAGCCTTAAAGTTGATTAACTGAAGAACAATCCTATTCAATTACTTACGTAGACATGATTTTAGTTTAATCTTGCAAGCATTCCAACTTTGAATCTTTTTAAATTTTTGTAATTTTGTAATTTTGTAAACTTTCGGAAAAGATTTGTCATTGACTTAAGGCAAGAATCTTTTTTAATTTTTGTTTAAGATTCTAATTTATTTCTTTATATTTTTGCGAATGCCAAGATTCGGCGGTTAAAGGAAGAGGCCCCACATGAAATTGACAAAAACAATGTCAAGGCGCAAGAAAATGCACAATCCCAATTCATTTCAGAGCTTAATATCTTCCTAAAATCCTAAATAAAGAAAGAAAGAATGGAAAAGGACAAACAAAATTCTCAGACTGTCAGTCAGTGGTGGAAAGAAGATTTAGAAGAAGACTAAAAAGATCTCTTTCTTTTATTGCTTTTTTGAACTTCCCATATGTGAAAGGAGGCTGCTTTCAATTCAGTGGTGGGAAAACGGTGGCAGTGAAGGAAGAAGCAAAATACTACTACTAACAGAAAACAACAAAAGGGGTGCGTCTAATTCACGTTACATACCCAGTAACTGTTCTTTACTTTTTTGATTGGTTTGTATTACAAGAAAGTATAATTCTGTTTTGCTCCATTCTTGTTGATCCAAGATTAGTTTCTTTTTCTCTTTGTATAAATCATGGGTTCTTCTATATAGCTTTCAGTTCACACCCAGGTTTAAATTTTACACTTTTCTTTCAATTTCGTCAAAATCTGTTCCCCTGTTTGTTTCCAGAGCTGTTTTAATTGTATTTTAAATGAATTATGAGGAGTTAATTTTGCTTAAGCTTTCATGGGTTGGAACCTTTTGTGGTTTTAGACCATCTTATTCTTAGGTGGACCTTTGATTATATTTTCTTGTTTCATTTTGTTCTTGGGAGTGATTAGATGAGCATCTAGAGAGGTTGACCTTTCTGGGTTTTGGCAGAGATGGGTTTACTAGAAGGACTGATTTCTTGATCCCAAGTGTTTTCAATAGAATAAGGATTTGGGCTAATCTAGTTGTTTTCTCTGCATCAAGTCATGACTAGTATAGGAGGATATTTATAAGCAGTTGGTTCGAATTTCAAGCAATGTATAAGCATGTACTACTAGTTAAGTGAATTTTCATGACTTCATGAGTGGTCTTTAAGGGAGTACAAGTAGTAATTGATCCTTATAAGCAAGGACTTCTGAGAGTAGATAGTTGATTATAAGCATTAAATTTAGTCATAATTGCTCTTGTCCTGATGGAAGGAAAGGAGAAAAGCTATGATAGATGTATAAATGCAGTTTTCAAAATGTCAACGTTACATCACTTAAAAACATTCAGGGATATCTGGTCTAATTCAAGAGCTAATAGAAGTCTATTAGAGTAAGGTATTTCACCTAAATATCCACTATTAGTAAGAATAAGGAAGTGTCTGACATTGGCTATGAATTCACAATCTGATACCCTTCTTTGATGTGGGTTTTATGCAACATACTTGTGTCTCCATCATGCATCTGAGGTGGTTCAGTTATTTTAAGTCTTCACTTATTGTACTTTGTTAGTTTCTAGGTTATGCTGTATTTGGTGTTTATACTGTGAAATATGTAACAGTCTACCTCGGACAAGATGTGTTTAGCATTATACTTGCGTAAGATTGCAAGTAAGATGTAAATTTCCTGTTAGCACACGAGTGATAATGTTGTGTATACTGCATCCCCATTCATTACTTTTTTTGTTGGTTTTTGCTGTATGGTTCGATTTTCTCACTGAATATTGTGTGTGTTTAAGTCATGTCTACTCTGAGGGAATTTAACGTCATTTTTACAGGGTTCATTCTTATACATTGTAATTTTGCATTTGAAGTCTCATTTGTTGGATTGCAGGTTTCCTATTCACCAAACCACTGCCGAAACTTCTATAACATAATGGTTAATCATAATCAGGATGATGAATCATGTACAAAACCCCTTGGAAGGTGTTCAGTGTTTTATTACGGTGTTGGGCACATGCTCAACGACATAACATCAGCCTGTTGGTTCACTTATCTCTTAGTTTTTCTGACAGATATTGGATTATCCCCAAGGTTCGTTACTCATTTTCTTGCTGTTAGGTATGCTAGTAAGCACGCGTCTTCCAATGATCGATTTAGCATTAGGAAAAAAGGAATTGTACCCTTGCGCTTCTTGCGTTTTTAAACTAACATGTACTACTTTTACTTTAGCGTGATCTAGCTTGGCTGCTGATAGCTATCTAATGTCTGCTGCGCACCTTTTTTGCAAATTTTGAGTTAATGCTTCCCACAACTTTATGTACTTCTTTTAGAGTGTGTTGCATGAATATCATGAGTTCAGTGGATGGCCCTACCTGATAGGAGCTTAGCTTCTAGTTAGTCAAATTAGAAACACCGGTTTCATTTTATGGACACAAATATCATAAGGTATATCTGTAGCCTAAACTGGTAAGAGATACCGGTTGGTAATGCAATCCAGACTTAAAGGGCGCCACTGGACTCTCAAGTCCAATAGTGGAATTTCATTCCCGATTCACCCCATTCATGTTGGCCATTATTGCACCCTCCACAATTTGTCAAGCATGTGACTTCTGCACTCCTGCATCCCTCACATTTCAGTACCCTTCACCCCTCTCCTCAATAAACTTAAAGAAAAAGGGTAAAACTCCAGCAGACCTTAGGTTGTGAAGTTGTTGGTTGTGTGCTCATGTGTACCTTGTTTGTTTCTCAGTGATGCTGCAGTTGTAATGCTCTCAGGTCAAGTTGCAGATGGATTGACCACTGTATTTGCTGGTGAACTGGTATCTCTCCATAACATAACTACTACCTTATCTTAGAGCATCAACTTAATAATTTATTATATTCACTTCCTTTTTCACACTTTTTAAAAACTTTGCTGTATTAACCAAACTCCGTCACTTGCTATAACACATGTATTTTACAAATCTATATGCAGAACATCTTTGATACACACTTAGCTCAAAATACAAACTTAAATTCAAATATATGCAAATTTTGCTAACTTTGACTACCTAGCCGGTTCAAAGCATCAACTTGTATTTTTCCAGATAACGGGGGAGAGGACATAAGAAAAACATGTTCTGATATTTCCAATTTCACTTCCTAAGAGAGATCATGAAGTCATTGCTGAATGAGAACATGCTCTGCCATTTTCACCGTTTTCTCATCTAAGCTTACACTTATCCATTATAAAATGTATAGTTTTTCTTTTATGAGTATTTAAATTTATGGTTTATGCAGTCATTTTCTTGTAACACAGTGATTGGTTAAATGCAATAAGTAACTGTTGATATAATAGCAGCACATAATTTTTTACAAAAATAATAACAACTACGCCTCAATCCCATGCTAGTAGCACATAGTTTTTTTTCGACATTAAATTTATCCTTCTAACTAACATCTGTCATTTTACATGATAGATAGACAGGTTTGGGCATTTCAAAGTATGGCATCTTGCAGGATCTGTCTTGGTTGGTGTCTCATTTTCTTCAGTTTTTGGCGGTTGCTTGCCTTGCAAACTAATTGGTTCCGATTCGGTTATGCTGCAAACAATCGGTTACAGTGTGTTTGCTGCAATCTTCAATGTGGGATGGGCTGCTACTCAAGTATCACATATGTAATTGTCTGCTCTTACCTATCTTCTTCTGCTAAATGTTACAATACTACTGTGCCGGGCATTATAAAGACTTGTCATTCTATTTCTGGTTAGTGGTTTGTTGAATTTATTAATATGTTTGAAAGTTTTTTTTCCACTTACCTTCCAAGGGTAGGGTTTAACATGTTAATCCGCAATTTTGAGGAACATTTTCTGTGACTAAGTGAATGATCTGCATCGTCACCCAACCCTTTATGTAAAAAACACCAGCTAACGGCTGTGCTCCTCCTCCTCCTCCTCCTCAAGTTATGAGCAAAAAGAATGGTAATCCATGCAGCTTTCCACCCCAAAAAGTTATCTTTCTCCATGCTGCTGAAGAAGAAAACTCTCCTCTCCCCTTGCTGCAGTAAATGAGAGGACTGGATAGTAATATTTCCATGAGAATGACAGGGTTCTGCCATGGGCTTGAACCTTGATGAATATAACAAGTTAGAAATTCCTCCAGCTTCTCCATCGGCCAATCCCTGGCAGCACCTCTAAATTGTACGCTTCCAAAATTCCTCGTACTGCTCGGTAACACCCTAGGCAAAATTCATCATTGGCAAAATTCATTAGAGATGCTAGATATATAAGGAAGCAAGCCTTAGACCACAATGACGTGTTTAAAGCCGTGTTGGTCTGGGCCCGAAATGGACAGTATAACTAGTGGACTGTGCTAACAAATACAGTATCAGAGTCGGATTCCAGCAATACGATGGTGGGGCAAACCTCAGCGAGGGCGTTGAGTCACTAAAAGGGGTGTATGTGATGGCCATGACAGAAGATGGGTCAAGGAAAAGGACTGATAGGCTTCTACTTTAGCAAACGTCCGAAGAGGGGGTGTAGTATGACATCTTAGGAAAATCCCACATCAGAACGGGAGAGAAAAATGAAGGGTTATATAGTACAGAGAACATGTTCACATGGTACACGCACTTTCGGGCTCTATATGGGTTGTCCAAGGGACAAAGCTGTGAGCTTGTTAAGACAAAGCGGACAAGATGTACCATGGGCTTGGTCTGTGATATGCTCTTCCCTATTTCCCCTACAACAGCTTCCTGATTGGTTTAGATAGTAAACTGTATAGATCTTGGTAAATATTACTTGCTCTGGACTCCTCTAACAATACCATTTGTATTCCCTAATGAAAAACTTTCCCCCCTCCCTATTTTTAACTCAATATTTTTCGTACATGTCTGCCTGTCCCTTTATTCTTTCCTCTCAAAGAACAGTGTTATAAGGACAACCATGCATTCATTCTTCAATACTAAAGTTCCATTCCATATTTATCTCCTTTGATCCTCCTCCAGAACTCCCTTCTTTCACTCAAATGTCCTCAAAACCACACATATTTTTTTAATGAAGCTATATCGAGGACCCTTATGCCCCTAAACCCAAGGAGATCATCTTTGATTGTGGAAGTTATCACTCTTCTACCCTCCAGCTGGAATGGTCATCACTTTTGCCCACTGCAGCTACATAGAATCCTGATAATAATCATGAGATTACCATCTTTTGACAAGTAATTGCTCTGCCAACATGCTAAACTTTTCTTGAATTTCTCGATGTAGGTAAAATAACTAAACTGTAAATAACTTGAAGAACCACTTTAAATTTCTAAGCACATGAACACCTTATGAAATTTCACCAAGTATAACTCAAACATTAGCTGATAGTTCTTTGGAAGTTGGTAACAGAATATTTGATGCTTGCTGTAGGTCGATGGTGAACTGCATTACACTGAACTCGACGAGCAGAGTAGTTTTAGCTAGTTGTCGCAATGCTTTTACGATGGTTGGTAATCTCCTCCATGACTTCATGCTATATTTCCTTGCGCATGTGAGAAATCATTAACTTTTGGTTTGTTCTGGTGAATTTGAAGATTGCAAACCTTAGCTTATACGCAGTTGCTTTTGCCGTGTTCAATGTCGTCGGAGCAGGGACACCTGCTGCTATAGAAAATCAGGTATGTTACCTTTCAGTGGCTGTTCTGCTTACTCTAAATTTTCTTTTGGCTTGTTCTCATTACTTTTTGAATATGCAGTATCGTTGGATTGCATATATATCAATTTTCATTGGAAGCTGCTTTGTGGGCGTGTTTCATCTTGGAACCAGAGAGCCAAGGTCTGCACATGTCTTATTTTCTCTCTTTTGACTGAATTTATTGGCTGCATTATTTTCTGGGACTGATTTTCAAGGAAATGTAGTTGTTTGCTATTGTTAGTTTATAGATATATATAGTGTAGTCTTGTCCCACATTGGAAGAGGAGTAATATCTCCTTGTAGTGTATAGCTATAAATAGGGACCTCTTGTATTGTATTTATCATCTAATATCAATAACATATTTTCTCCCGTGCCTTCTCACATGGTATCAGAGCATTAGTGAGAAAAGATCGCTGTGCGTCATTCCAGCGTTAACCGGGAAGAAAGAACTTAGTCATCGTGTAATTTTTCCGGTGACCTAAGGCTTATCTAAGTGAAAGTCACTTTCTGTCGGTGTTGTGCTAAAACCAACACCACCACGAGGTAGATCACCCTCCGGCTACCAACCCCTGAAATTTTATCCGGCAGAAAAGCCGCCACGCTCCTCCACGCGCCGGCAACGACTTTTCCGGCGAGGGTTCCGGCCACTTTCCGGCCATTTTTTCGTGAAGATTCTTCAGGACAGTGTGCTCTCCTCAAAATTCCGAGCGTACCCATATAATTCAAATCAAATTCCGGCCACTTTTATATTTTTCCGGCGTGAACAGTGACCTTTCTGGCCATTTTTTGAAAATATTTCTTCAAGACAGCTTGCTCGCAAAGGAATTATGAGTCTATCCATCCTGGTTACAACAAATTCCGACAACTTTGAAATTTTCCGGCGAGCTACAGTGTTTCCGGCGTGAACAGTGACCTTTCTGGCCATTTTTTGAAAATATTTCTTCAAGACAGCTTGCTCGCAAAGGAATTATGAGTCTATCCATCCTGGTTACAACAAATTCCGACAACTTTGAAATTTTCCGGCGAGCTACAGTGTTTCCGGCGTGAACAGTGTTCCGGCACTGAACAGTGTTCTGTTTTCCTACTGTAAGCAGTGTTTTTCAAGCTATTTCTTCAGTTTTCTCACAGGAGTTACTTATTTCCACTATTTCAAGTTAACCCTACTACTACAAATTGTAGCGACATGGGAACCGATGCTTTGAATAGTCGGATGGTTTCTTTAGCAGAGTATATTGAGTTCCTTCAGTATAAAGCATGTAAGCAGACATCTTCTGAGATAGCTTCTGTTGTTCAAACAGGTAATAGCGTGACTTGTTTCTCCCAATCTTCATCCTCTGAGTCTTGGGTCATTGATTCAGGTGCATCAGATCATATTTCTGGTAACAAATCTCTTTTCACTACTATTTCGTATTCTCAATCTCTTCCAAAAGTCACAATGGCCAATGGGTCTCAAACCATGGCAACTGCAATAGGTCAAGCAAGCCCACTTCCTTCCTTACCTTTAGATTCAGTCCTTTATGTTCCCAATAGTCCTTTTAATCTCATAGCTGTTAGTCGCTTAGCCAAATCACTTAAATGTGCTGTTTTATTTCTTGATAACCATGTTTTTATACAGGAACGCAGTACGGGGCGGATCATTGGTACCGAACGTGAATCAAACGAACTTTATTACCTTATCCTTGCTAAATCACATGGACTCACATCTTGTCTTCCTTCTACAACTTGTCCTGTTACTGATTCACCAGATTTATTACATAAACGGTTGGGATATCCCAGTTTGTCAAAACTTCAGAAAATAGTATCTGGTTTATCTCACTTGTCAGCTCTAGAGTGTGTGTCATGTCAGCTCGGTAAGCATACCCACTCCCATTTCCCTCGGCGTCTTGATAATCGAGCAGA